TGAAAATAATAGTAATTAAAAAAAAAATCATTATAAGATATATTTCTAATTATAAAATATTAATCATAAATTATTTAGTTACAGTTTGAGTGGTATAATTGTAATTATTTTGTCAATTGCGATGATTCAATTTCGGCGATTTTACAATTTCTTTTTCTAAACACTAATTAATGAATTTTGATAAACTAACGATAACAGTTTGATTTTCTGAATTCATTAGGGTATCAATGAATTCTTCGTCATTATTTAACTAGAGTGATTATCCACTTTGTTGGATAACGTTTCTAGACGAAGTTTAAAAGATTTTTGAATAAACTTTGAAATATAATAAGTTGTTGCTTGATTATCTGAATTAAATAATTCATATGTATATTCTGTAAGGTCCGAATTCTTGTTGAAATTTGTGCAATTAACCTTTTCTAAAAATTCTTTTCGTTCATTGTCATATAATGGGCAGTGATATAACATGTGCATTTCCGATTCAACAGCTTGTTTATCACAACACTGGCAATATCGAAGATGCGCAGCGGTTTTTTCGGTGTAGTACCGTCCAGTTTCTATTGATAATTTATGATTACTTATTCGGAATTTAGTCAGAATTCTTCTTTGATCAAAGTTTTGAATTTGATTTAAATAATTTTTCGATTCATAATTAGTTTTTAAACCTTTCAAAAAATAAAGCTTTTTGGACGATGACAGATCAACTTTCCAATGATTGAAATACTGATTTTGCTTCTTGGATTTAAATTCTTCAARCATTTTGTTGGTAATCAAATTATTTCCTAGGTCAGATAAGGTTCCTAAATTATACAATTGAAGCATGCTTTGAAGGTTTGTATGAAAGCTCAGCTTATTGCGTAAAAATAGTGATTTCGAGATGATGAATGCTTGTTTAACCACTGTATCATCAGGTAAAATAATCAAATGATTATAAAATTTTAWTATCAACTGATCAATAAACAATTTCAACGGGAATCTTCCAAGCTCAGCTCTAGAAGCAATATTTGAAGCTTTTCTATTTACACCAAGGTAATATTTTCAAAATCGAAGGTGCACTTTTTCAGTTGGACATTTATCCCATTTAAYAAAATCATGACTTTGATAATTTCCCCACACTTCACAGCTATAAGTTAAAATAGGGCATATCAGCGAATCAAACAATTTATTGGCTTGAGATGGTTTTAATCTTTTGAAATAAACAGATCTAGTTAATTTGAAAAGAGCRTGAAGAGATTTCTCTCGTGATAGATCTAAATGATTTGTGAAATTTCCTGTGCAGCTTGATTTGACACCTAAATAGATAAACTCGTTGACAATTTCAAGAACATTATTCAATTTAAAAGATGGCTGGTTTTGTTTCTTACATGACTTCTTTGAAAATATCATGACTTTGGTTTTTTTCTCGNATGATCTAGCTTGTCTATCACATCAATACGGGATTTATCTTGGTGCAATGAGCGAACTTGGTGTGCTTTCCATGCAAGGATCGCCTGAGAAGCTTCTTTATATGCAAAAAGAACATCGTCGTGATCTTCGATTGGAAGGTTAGCCGCATTAATTGCGGTTTCTACATCATTGATTGCTTTCCTCAGGCTATCACAGTTTTTACAACTATGATCATGTCTGTGGTCGCAAACTTTCTGGAAACACTCATCCGTCGTATCACTAAGTGAAAAAGGAATACAGTGATCTGGTATGGTTGAGGCGTCTGAGGCATGTACCTGGTGAATAAAAAAAAGACTTAGCTAAATAGTTCCAATATATTGAAACATCTATAGGCCCTATGATTATAATAACGCACCTTATAGTCGTCTTTGATGTAGAGCTTTCCTCCCTTAAGATCATTTTTGATTCTTTGCCCTTCTTCTCTATCAAACTTAGAAATGTCAACAAGCTTATCGACAATAGATGCTAGGTCATCAAAACCTTTAGCACCATCTGCGGCAAAATAGTCCAATCCTTGTAGTGATGTGCGTGTGCTTGCAGAACATGATGACAGTATGCTTAACATTGTTGACTTGCTGAATGGCTTGAAGTTAGTTTCTTTACAATATTGTTCGTACTGGTCTGCGATGCGTTGTGGTATCATARTTCTTATTACATTTGGGATTTCCAAAATTTTCCCATTGGACAGCTTCAAGCGTCTCTGGCCAAAGGGTATATCCTGCACCACATGAGAGGTAGTAATAAAGGTGAGAAAGTTATCTAGTTGCAATGGATCGACCTTCATTCTTGGACTTCTTGGTGTAGATATGAGAGTACCCCTCCCATGCTCCAGTTGATGATGTCTTGCAATCTTGATTTTGTAATCAGTTACTCCTGGTATGTAGGCCTTTATACTTGAGTACCGAACTAAATCGACTAAAATAGATAATCTTTGCCTTCTGGTGTATACTGAGTCAGCATATTTTGGTATGACTCTGATAGTGCCTCCAGGTACATTTTCTCCTCTTGACTGTATGATTGATTTATACCCATGGCTGATTCAACGCTTTTCAAGGATTTCATGGTCTCCCATAATTCAGGTACATTGTTTGGAACAATAACTTCAAGTACTGCCAGAACTGCATTCCCAGCCTTCAATGCATGACTGTGTTTAGATCGTTCACTAAGGTCACCCCATACCTTCTTCAACGGATTGGTTATCTCTCTTCCACATGCTGTAAGAAATTCATTGAGCAACAATCTTTTTCGATCAAGCGTATCATTACCATCCTACTCATCCGTCTCAGTAGAGTCGCTGCCGTCACTATCAGTACTTGCGTTCGGTAAGTAGTTACTATCGTTAAATGAAGAGAATCTCACGGCTATTTCTTCGATGTCGTCCTCGAGATTTTTAAAGCTTTCTTCTTCTTCCTTTGTGAANCAATTTCAAGAACATTATTCAATTTAAAAGATGGCTGGTTTTGTTTCTTACATGACTTCTTTGAAAATATCATGACTTTGGTTTTTTTCTCGTTTACTGACATTTGCCATTTTTTACAGAAACCCGCTACAGTATTTAAACAATTTTGTAAAMCTACTTTTGATTTAGAAATTAAAACTAAATCATCGGCATAAAGAAGCGATGTCAGTTTTCCGTTATTTGGCAAACAAACAGGATCTGATCTTAAAGTTTGATCGAGTTGTAAGGATAAWTCATTTAGATACAAGTTAAAAAGTAAAGGGCTTAAAATACATCCTTGACGAACACCTYGTGTGTATTCAAAAGTTTTAGTTTGCTTTGAACCTAGTTTGATAAAACACTTAGATTTTGAGTACAAGTTTTTAATCAGATTAAAAAAGTGACCATTAATATTGTATCTTAATAATCGTAGTAATAAGCCATCATGCCATATTGAATCAAAGGCTTTCTTAAAGTCAATAAAGCAAGCATATATCTTTCCTCTACTAATATCTTTGACATATTTATCAATGATTGTTCGAAGAGAAAAAATATGATCTGAWGTTCCGGTAACCAGGTAAAAAACCAATTTGTGAGTTGTGTAAAATAGTATTTTTTTGAATGTGATTCAAAAGACGTCTATTTAGAATTACAGAAAAGAATTTACCAAGACAGCTAGAAACACAGATTCCTCTGTAATTAGCAGGGTCGGAGACATTCCCACATTTGAAAATCGGTGTTACAGATCCTACACACCATGCATCTGGAAAAATTTCGGACGTCAGAATAAGGTTGAAAAACTTTTGATACACTGAATACATGCTATCTATACTATGTTTAATCATTTCATTTTTGATTCTGTAGAAGCAGCTTTGTTATTTTTTAATAAACGTACGCATGAACGAATTTCTTCTTCATTAATAGGAGTATTTAGCAAGCAATTTACATCTGAATTTTTCTCAAGCTCTTTTCGTTCATGTGTTAAAGAGCACTGTTCGGAAGTTAACGTCTTTTTCTTATGAAGTTCAGTAAAATGATTTAACCATGTTGGTTCAGAAATTGGAGGAATAATCTCTTCTTTTACTTCCTCATCCGCAGAGTTTAAAACTGACCAAAAATTGGTATTTCCCGAGCTAGCCTGAAATTCTAATTTTTCGTTATGAAMATTTAATTTCTTAATTTTCAACAATTTCTTGAAATTTTTTAATTTATAGTAATAAAGTTCTCTGATATATGGATCAGTGGGACAAGCATGTTTTTGATTAGAAAGTTGTCTTAGCTCCTTTCTGGCCTTTTTGCAGTCAAAATCAAACCACTTTTTGGGACAAATGTATGGTGGCCCATTGACGCCATAGTGGTTTTTGCACTTTTTGTGTAACTTTTTTAATTTTTTTGAATTTTCATTTGATTTAATTTTTTTTCTATGTTAATTTAATTTAATTTTTTTATAATTTTATTTTATTTTCATTTTATTTGTTTTTTTTAATTTTATTTTGTTTTAAATTATTTGTATTCATTTCAGTTTTATACTTTTTTACTTCACTTTGTTTTTTTATACTCTCTATTTATTATTTTTCAATCATTGTTTTAGTTTGTTTTATTTCATTTTGTTTCAATTCATTTCATTTCAAATGAAATAAAAATGAAAAAAATACGGCAGCCCAGCGACGCCATAGACCATGATTCTTTTCGGGCATCAATCACCGGTAAACATGGCGTCTAAAAATCCAGCATGGCATCGGTATGGTCAAAANGTTAAATGAAGAGAATCTCACGGCTATTTCTTCGATGTCGTCCTCGAGATTTTTAAAGCTTTCTTCTTCTTCCTTTGTGAAAAAAAAAATGCCTTCTGTAAGATATTGCTGCGCGACGTTCGAATGATAGCAGAAGAGTGTAACGGTACGTGGAATTTAAAATGTACTTACCAGTGTGCGTTCGTTATCGCAAAGTACTTTTGGAGAATCCAGGGAAACATTAATTGAAGGTGACTTTAGATCGTTCAAATAGGTGCGGCATCGTTTGCATATAGCTAAAAGAAAAAAATAAACCAATGACGCCAAAAATGTTTGTGTTTCTAGCACTTTCTGTAGCCTCAAATAGGGCGGCGTCTGATACTTACGGGATCCAACAGGTATAAGTATTGATGTGCTTGCTAGCAATATCCTTGATTGGTCACGTGTCAATCCACGATCACCTTTTCTTTGGAACTCTTTGTGAGGTGCCCAATTTGGTGGGCAACAACAATATTTTTTATTACTTTTCCACCTTAATCCTAAGTCATCTCTGTGACGAGGACAAATAAATAATTTCAKGWGGTGTTCTTGGATATCAAATACGCCTAAAGAAATTAAGAAAAACAATAGTACTTGGATGACTTGGCGCGCAATTATAGTACTGGTAGCCAAAGGCGGCAACACTTTCCAGACAAAGTTGTATATCGTGCATATTTATATTAAAATACTGATCCAAACACGAAGCAAATCGGTGCATAGCAAGATTTTCAAAAAGCGAATTTAAAATGAGAGGTGTGATCGAAAAACAACTCTAGGAAGCCACCTTAATACAGCAAAACTGATATAACCAATCTTAATTTATTGAACTTCATTGTCTGTTCTAAACGAAAATCTCTCAGCCATGTTGTTTGAGCGTTGTATACGAATTTTGATCCTGCGATATAAATAGTATCTTTGGTACCCTAAGGGACTACGAAACAAGTGTATGAAATAGTACTAACGAAC